ACTTGGAAGGGATAAAAGGATCATACAGATTGGATGGGAGCCAAAAGGGCATCTAGTCCATCCCCAGTTTCGTGGATGTTTCATTGATGCTTCATTGGGACCTTCTTCCTTGCCATTTGAGTCCCATGGCTTCTGTCTTGCCTGCCTTGCAGGGCCGTCGTTCTGTGTGAGCTCCTTCCTTGCAGCCACCCTGCTTCCCCTCCTTCTTTCCCTTCCTTGAAATGGGAGACTTTTCATCTCTTTCTTTTGCTGCTGCTGCTGCTACTGCGGTTGGAAAATGCACACGTGGCTCATAAGGAAAATATTTGCTCGGCGGTCGCCGGTTTTCAGAGGAATTTGGGACGTTAATGTGAACAGTCTGTTGGGAGGAGGACAATGGAGCCATTCAAGGGGTCAGTCGGCCTGGCTGCCCACCTTCTTCAATTGACTATAAGAAACGAGGGGCCAAAAACACTCCCTGGTATTGATCTACTTCAGTAGTTTTGGGGAAGAGACCCCACGGTTACTCCATAGCAGCATTATTACTGTTGTTTTGGGGACGAGACCCCACTTTTACTCCTTAGCAGCATTGTTGTTGTTGTTGTGGTTGTTGTCATTAGTTTTGTGGAAGATACCCTGCTTTTAAGCCATAGCACTGCTTATTATTATTATTATTATTAGGAGCCCCCAATGACACAATGGGTCAAACCCTTGTGCTGGCAAGACTGCTGACTGAAAGGTTGGTTCAAATCCAGAGAGTGGGGTGAGATCCCGTCTGTCAGCTCCAGCTTCTCATGTAGGGACATGAGAGAAGCCTCCCACAGGATGATAAAACATCTGGGCGTCCCCTGGGCAACGTCCTTGCAGAAGGCCAGTTCTCTCGCACCAGAAGCAACTTGCAGTTTTTCAAGTCACTCCTGACACGAAAAAAATTATCAGTTTAGCATATTTATTTATAATATAGAAGCGAACCAAGGGTATAGTTGTATTTTTTAAAAAAAACCCACAAAGTTTAAAAACTTGGGCATTATATTAAATGTCCTTTGACTTGTAGCTGGTCAAATAAAATAATAATAAAATAGTATAATAATAATAATAATAATAATAATAATAATAATAATAATAATAATAAGTTCAGCAGAAGAGACTCCTTTTAAGTCACATCACTGCTATTATTATTATTATTATTATTATTATTATTATTATTATTATGTTGCCTTTGAACCGTGCTGAAAACAATGCAACACAATAAACAATCCAACCATGTTCGTTGCCTCTCCATCTTGCAAAAGCGGGGATGTGACTCTTTGTTTCCTCCTCATTTGCACGGAAACAGTAATTGAAACCATTCTTTGCTCTAAGCAAGATTTACTAGGGCTTTTTTGTGCATTTTCCAAGGGCCTTTCAGACTTTGAGGTGGGAGGGTGGGATATATAATTTGGGCCGATCTCCGCTTCTTGTCCAGAGAAAAGTGTGTTTTCTGCAAGCCTTCCCAGGATGTAATGCACGAATGCCTTGAATCCTGCCTTTTCCTTTCATAAGCAAAGAAACAGATGAAGGTCCTTTGCTTCCTTCATCTCAATGCATATTTTTGGGGAGTCTTTGTTTATTACCTTTTGGGCAAGTTGGACTCAGATTCTGGCAATCCAAATACACATAAAGCCATGGGTAGCCTTCTGGAAGGCATCTACACTGTAAAATTGATGCAGTTTGATACCATTTCAGCTGCCATGGCTCTATGATAGGGAGCCTTGAAATGTGTCTGAGGCTGTTAGGAATTGTGGGAGTTGAAGTCCAAAAAAGCTGGAAGGCTGAAGTTTGCCCATGTTACATCTCCGAACGCATCTCCACCTATGAACCGGCGAGGATGTTAAGATCGTCCGGGGAGGCCCTGCTCTCGGTCCCGCCAGCGTCACAAGCGCGGTTGGCGGGGACGAGAGACAGGGCCTTCTCGGTGGTGGCCCCTCGGCTATGGAATGTCCTACCAGTGGACATCAGGCAGGCCCCTTCGTTGCTGGTGTTTCGGAGGAGGGTTAAGACGTGGCTCTATGAGCAGGCATTCGGATAACTATGCAATAACAACTAACTCAGTAAGACGGCATTTGAACAAGGAACGAAAAAGGACTGTGAGAACGGGAGCTGACTCTAATTGAGGCGTTGATGACTATATGTGTGTCGTTTGTGTACGTGTGTCTTATATATTGTCAGTGTTGTTTATTTTTACTGTAAACCGCATTGAGTCGCTGCTTCAGGCTGATAAATGCGGTATACAAATGGAGTAAATAAATAAATAATAAATAAATAATTAAATCCTCATTAGAAAACCCCTTGACTGTATTAACGGGAGACTTCCAACTCGCCTTACTCTCAACCCAGGCCTTGCAAAGTTGGGGCAGATGGGTTTTCCTTGATGGAGTCCATTCATCTGGAAGGGTTTTTTCCTTTTTTCCTGTGCCTTCTTTCCAAGCATCATGAGCTCTTCTCTCTTTCCAAGCATCATGGTCTTCTCTAGCGAATCCTTTCTTCTAATGGGCCCATTTTGTGCTGTTTAGGATTGGAGACGGCTGGAGCTGCAAAAGGCATTTCAGTCTCCAAAAGGAAGACTGCTTCCAGGTGGGGCCAAGGCCAACGGTGCCGTAATCCGAGGCCTGGAAGCCCTCTTAATGGGATCCATGTGCCGCTGGCTGAGTGCGCGCACCCGCCCTTGGGGGGGGGGGTGTTGAAGGCACTTGATGGGAGGCAGCTGTGTCAACAGGGCTCCCAATGGGGCCCTGCCAAAGCCCCCTCTCCAGACGACCAAGGTGCTGAGTTGGGGGTCTCTGTGGGGAAGCTGGGGTGCACTTTCAAGGGCTCTCTTATAGGGTTTTTCCTGCCTCCTTTTTGGCCCAGCTTCGCTGCGTGGGAGAAGCAAGGAGAGTGAGTCAGACCCACAGAAAGTCCCCTCCTCCAGGCCCTGTCCTTTGGGCCCTTACCATCAGGCTCCCTCCAGATCCCACCCAACTCTCCCACTTATGGGACTCCTCGAAAATAACTCTATGTTAACAAAATTTGAAAAAGTTTCTGTTTCTGGTTTGAAAATGTTATTTTCTGTTTAATCATGCGGTCCGTACCTTGAAAGTAGTTGTTCTACTCCAGAAACTTCATTTTTGTGGCTGCCACAAACTAAGGAGAATTGGTTGAGACTCATTGAAGTGCTAGAGCAAAATGTGCTGCAGGATGTTACTCCTGCACAAACAAAGTTTTTGCAATTGAATCAACTTTTCCCATGTTTTTATGATAGAACCAATTAGGAAATGACATTTATAACTCAGGAACAAAAATTGTGTTGCATAGTATAACAACAACAACAACGACCTTTCTTCCCCACCTCTCCTCATGGCTTGGGGTTACAACATCAGCTAAAACATATAAACATCTTAAACATTCTGTAAAATACACATATTAAAACATATTTCTATAAAATAACATATTAAAGTACACAGAACAAAGACGAAAACACAAGACGTAATTTTAAATTCATTTTTGCGTGTGTCAGGAGCAACTTGAGAAACCACAAGTTGCTTCTGGTGAGAGTGACTTGGTCGTCTGCAAGGACATTGTCAGGGGACGCTTGAGTGTTTTACCATCCTGTGGGAGACTTCTCTCATATCCCCACTTGAGAAGTTGGAGCTGACAGAAGGGAGCTCATCCCCGCTCCCTGGATTTGAACCACTGACCTTTCAGTCAGCAGTCCTACCAGCACAAGGGTTTAACCCATTTAAGCTGATTGGGTTGGCCTTCTGCTAGAAGAGACAGTTCTTCAGGTAGGTTTCATGCAAAGGCCACCCCTTTGCATAAGGGAGGGCTCTTGGCCTGGAAGGAGGCTTTGCACATCCTTACTTGTTTGGTCTTACTGCAAAATGTGCTTGGTTTTGAGGGCAAAATTCAGGGTCAGGGTTTTTTTTTTTTGGTTTTTTTTTTTGCTGTTCTGGCTTTGGAGCTGGGGGTCACAGACATGGCCAAGACCAGGGGTGCCACTCCCACTCCTCCTCCTCCCCCCCCCCCCATTATTATTATTATTATTATTATTATTATTATTATTATTATTATTATTGCTGTTATTGACTTCTTTTTACTATTATTATTTTATTGTTATTATTGACCTATTATTATTATTATTATTATTATTATTATTATTATTATAATATTGTTGTTGTTGCTGTTATGGACACCTAATAACAACAACAACACTATATTGCTATATTTATTTTATGTCAGGGCAACCAGTCAATTATATTACATTTCTAACAGAACAAAGCAAACAAACAGACAAAATACAAAATTTGTGAGTTTGGTAGTTGATTAAATGTCCTTTGACTGGTAGCTGGCCACTTGGAGTGCTTCTGGTGTTGCTGCAAGAAGGTCCTCCATTGTGCATGTGGCAGGGCTCAGGTTGCATTGCTGTTATTGGCATTATTATTATTATTGACCACTTATTATTATTATTATTATTATTATTATTATTATTATTATTATTATTATATTGTTGTTGTTTTATGGACTAATAATAATAATAATAATAATAATAAATATATTGCTGTTTTTGGCATTTTTATTATGGACCACCTATTATGATTATATTGCTATTGACTTATTTTAATGACGTATTGTTATTATTATATTGAAATTATTATTGATTGCCCATTATTATAGTTGTTATTGGTATCCCACTTTTTCTCATGAAAAACTCAGAGCAGACCCCAAGGACCATTCTTGCCCTGAAATTCACCCCTTCCTTCCTTCTTTCCTCCTAAGAATATAAAAAGGGGACCCCTTTTCTCCTTGCCGCATAGCAGGCTGAATGGGAGGTGCATTGGACACCAAAGGGAGCCTCTTCCGCATCTAAATGGCAAAGGAAGAAGGGGGCTCTTTGGGGGGCTCCTCCAAGGCATTGCACTCACGACATCCCTGGGGGCCAAAGAGCAGGGTCTTCATCTTCGCTGCCCCTCTCTCTCCCACAGAGATACAAACACACATACATACACAGTACAAACATTTTATTTTTGTACAAAAAGGGGGGCATTTATAGCCTGGTTTTACAAAACAAAGTACCTCTGTATTAGAACAACAACAACAAAAAGCTTTCCCAGAAGAAATGGGAAATAATCCTGTGTTTTATAAATATGCTCTCAAAGTCTGTAAAGCTTTCCTTCCCTTTGAGGGCAGCCACTGGGCTGGGTTTCTTCATCATCACCCTCTTCTTCCTCCTCCTCCACCCCTCCCAATAAAAGAGACCCCTGTTCCTTCATCTTCCCTTTAAGAGGCCACAGCAGATGGGGACCTTCTTGTGGCCAGGGCAGGAAGGGGCCCCTCTTGCCTTGTTGCCTTTGCAGAGGGGCCTCTCTGGGGCAGGGTTTGGCCTGAATCCAAAGTTAAGCCTCAATGGGAAGGCCCCCCTAAAAGTAGGAAGGCCTCTGGGGCCTCTGGGATGTTGGGGTGACCCCGCTTCCTGGCATAAGGGGTGCCTGGTGGTCTAGGCCATTTGTGGAGAGTGCTTTCAGGGGCCCGGCCTGAACCCCCTCCATCTCCAAGGGCCCGAGAGGGGCCTGGCCTCCTTCTTTGCCCGAGGGCTTGCTCCGCTGCTGCTTCCTCCTCCTCCGGACACAGAAGGAGATGGCTGCTGCCCCGGACACCAAGAGCAGGACTGCAGCCGCGGCCGGGACCACAGCTATGGCCAGGTCAAGGGGAGGCTCTCCATCAGAGGGCCCCCCTTGTTGTTGCTGCTGCTGCTTCCTTGCAAGGGGCAGGGTCCGGGCCTCGGCACAGAGCTGCTCCTCCTGCTCCTCTCTGTCCCCCAGGGGTCCCAGGCAGAGCTGGTAGGAGGCATTGGGCCGTAGGGCCCGCAGGGTGTAGTCCGGCAGTGAGGCCGGCAATTTCAGGGTCAGTGGGCGCCTCTCAGGGCCGGAGAGACTCCAGTAGGTCAGGCGCAGGCCCTTGAGCCAGGGCTTGGCACGGACATAGCTTTGCAGGTCTAGATTAAGAGAGGTGCCACCTGGCAGGGCCTTCACTGCCATCTGTGAGGGATTTGCGGGGATGGATGACGATGCCGTTGTTGTAGTCGCTCGGACCTCGCTCTCACAAAACAAACCAGCGAAGCCTGGCAAGCAGAGGCACTCCAGGTGGTTTCCGGTGCCCAGGTGGCAAGTGCCGCCATTGAGACAGGTCCCAAGGGGGCAGAGGGGGGCTTCCGGGAAGGGGGATGGTGTGGGAGAGGGGCCGCCATTTGCACTCAATGTGCTGGATGCTAGTGAGGCAAAGCTGCTTGTGGCCAGCTCTGGTTCGGCCGTAGTAGCCCTCTGCGTCGTGGTGGTGGTGGTGGTTGTTGTTGTCGTCGTGGGGCAGCCAAAGTCTGCATACCGCATCTCCAGGAGGGTCCGGCCAGCGTTCTTTGGGGGGAAGTGGCAGCGGGTCTCCTCTGGCCGCCTCAGCGAGGCCTTGCCCTCGTCCAGCCAGGCCACTAGCCAAGCCATGGGGCAGAGGCAGTTGAAGGGGTTCTGGGCGGCCGCCAGGGCCGTGAGCCGTGGGAAGGCACCCAGTAGCTCCGGGGTCAAGGCAGTCAAGCGCAGGTCACTGAGGTCCAGCTCCTGGAGGCCGCCCAGGTCCTGGAAGTCCTCCGGCTGCAGCCGGGCGATGCGGACATTGCCAGCCAGGCTGAGTTTGGTCAGGGCCGGCAGCTCCCGCAAGGCCTCTGAGGGCACTGCCTCCAGGCGGTTGTGGGAGAGGTCCAGCTCATGGAGGCTGCCCAGGCCGCGCAGCAGCCCCTCATCCAGCCGCTCCAGGCCCAGTCCGGCCGCCTTGAGGGACTCCAAACTGGGCACCCCTCGCAGTGCATGGGGCTCGGGGGCAGCGGTCAGCGGATTGTTGCTGAGATCCAGCAGCAGGAGGGCTGGCAAGTGCAAAGGAGGCCAGGCCTGCAGACGGTTGTCCTGCAGCTTCAGCTCCAGGAGGGTCTCCAGGGCATCCAAGGCCCCCTCCTGGACACTCCGGATGCGGTTCCGGTCCAGATAGAGGCGTTCCAGGAGGTGCAGGCCATGGAAGCTCTCATTGGTCACTACCTGGAGGCGGTTGGCAGAGAGGTCCAGGTTGCGGAGGGCGGGCAGCGGGATGAAAAGCCCCCGGGGCAGCACCCCCACCTGGTTCTGGGAGAGGTCCAGCAGCTGCAGGGCCGGCGGAAGCCCCCCGAAGCTCTCTGGGCTCAAGGTGTGGATGCCGTTCTCAAAGAGGTACAAGCTGGATGTCTCTGGAGGGAGGCCCTGCGGCACCGACTGGCTCCGGCCAGAGACGCAGAAGGCAGTCCGGGGCTGGCTGCACTGGCACTCAGCGGGGCAGCCCTGAGCAGCGGTGGGGGCCCCCAAGGCTAGCAGGAGCAGCAGCGGAGGGAGCAGGGCCCACAGCCCCCAGAGCCCCATGTCAGCGTCCTGCAAGATAGAGGAAGAGGACCAGTGAGGCCTAAAGCAGTCCAGGGACACGGTTCCAGTGGGTCTAAACGTGAGCAAAGAGTGTCGTGTGGCAGCTAAAACAGCCTATGCGATTCTTGACTGCATGTTGAGATTAAGGGAGGTCAGGTCCCATGCTAATCTGATTTAGGAGAACTACTAGACCACAAACTGGACACAAGCCAACTGTGTGAAGCGGCTGCTGAAATGGCCAATGTGATTCTAGCATCAATAGTGTTGACATGGAAGGAAGTCCCTCTGGGAATCTGGGGAAGTTGAGCTCAGAGAAGAGAAGGCTGAGAGAAAGAGACATGACAGGCAGGTTTGAATATTGGAAAAGAGGTCCCATTGAGGAAGGAGGGGGCAAGGCTTGCTTTCCGATGCTCCAGAGATACAATGCAGCTCTGGATCCCAGAAGAGATTACACCTAAACATTAGGAAGGAGGTCTTCCTGTTTGATAAGCCCTCCCGATAGATGGCCATCCAACCTCCACCTAATAGTAGTAGTAATAATAACACTATGTAACAAAATTTGAATTTTTTTCTGTTCCTGTTTTGAAAATGTTCTTCCTTTTTAATTATGCAATACTTACTTTGAAAGTAGTTGTTCTACTCCAGAAACTTCATTTTTGTGGCTGCCAGAAACTAGGTTGAATTGGTTGAGTCTTGATCAGGTATTCATTGGAAAACGATTGCTGAATGTGCTACAGGATGTCCTGCAAAACAAAAGGTTTTTGCAGTTTAATAAACTTTTTTCTGTGCTTTTTTAATGCTAGAAACAATTAGGAAATGAGATGTATAACCCAGGAACAAAAATCGTGTGACGTAATAGTGTAATAAATAGAACCATAGAAACCTATAGTTGGAAGAGACCTCAATGGTCATTCAGACCAACCCCATTCCATCAGAAATCCACAATCTGATTTCATTCAGCCTCTGGATGTTTTTCAGCAGATGCTTCCAGATGGCTAGATGAGAAGATTTACTCAGAAGATCACAGAATCATAAAGGCAGAAGGAGTCCGTAGAGGTCATTCAGTCCAACCTCCTTCTTCCCTGCAAGAAGGCACAATCAAAGCCCTCCTGGCAGATGGCCATTGAGCCTCTGCTAAAAACATCTGGGGAAGGAGACTCCATCCCACATAATCCAGTATCAAACAGCTCTTCGCATCAGGAAGATCTTCTGCAGACCTAAACAGTCCCCAGGCGCTGACCTCATTTCTGATCTCATTTTGCATCATAGTCTTTCCTCCTCCTCCTCCAAAGGTCAGGGGAAAATTCAAAATAATAATGCCGTGTAAATAAATAAATACACACACACACACAAAATAGCAAAATCAGAATAAATAGGTGTCAGGTGAGACTTCTCGGGCAGCCTTTAGAAGTATGTACTTCTACTGTAACTGACAGGAGAAACCCTGGAGGATGATGGGAGATAAAGTCTGGCCTACTAAGGTAACTTTTCATGAAAGAAAGGAAGGAAAGAAAGGAAGTATAGAGGGGAAGGAAGGAAAGAAAGAGCAGGAAATATAGAAGGAAAGAAGGAAGTGACGGAAGAAACTATAGAGGAAGGAAGGAGAGAAAGGGCAGAAAGTATAGAAGGAAGCGACGGAAGAAAGTATAGAGGGGGAGGAAGGAAAGAAAGGGAAGAAAGTATAGAAGGAAAGAAGGAAGCGACGGAAGAAAGTATAGAGGAAGGAAGGAAAGAAAGAGCAGGAAATATAGAAGGAAAGAAGGAAGCAACAGAAGAAGCTATAGAGGAAGGAAGGAGAGAAAGGCAGAAAGTATAGAAGGAAGCGACGGAAGAAAGTATAGAGGGGAAGGAAGGAAAGAAAGGGCAGAAAGTATAGAAGGAAAGAAGGAAGCGACGGAAGAAAGTATAGAGGAAGGAAGGAGAGAAAGCAGGAAGTATAGAAGGAAAGAAGGAAGCGATGGAAGAAACTAGAGGAAGGAAGGAGAGAAAGAGCAGGAAGTATAGAAGGAAGCGACGGAAGAAAGTATAGAGGAAGAAGGAGAGAAAGAGCAGGAAGTATAGAAGAAAAGAAGGAAGCGATTGAAAAAAGTATAGAGAGGAAAGAAGGAAAGAAAGGGCAGAAAGTATAGAAGGAAGCGATGGAAGGAAGTATAGAGGAAGGAAGGAAGGGGCAGAAAGTACAGAAGGAAAGGAGGAAGCGATTGAAAAAAGTATAGAGAAGGGGGAAGGAATGAAAGGGCAGAAAGTATAGAAGGAAAGGAGGAAGCGATAGAAGAAAGTATAGAGGGGAAAGAAGGAAGGAAGGAAAGGGCAGGAAGTATAGAAGGAAAGAAGGAAGCGATTGAAAAAAGTATGGAGGGGAAGGAAGGAAAGAAAGGACAAAGAATAGAAGAAGTGACAGAAGGAAGTATAGGGAGGAAGGAAGGAAAGAAAGGGCAGAAAGTATAGAAGGAATTAAGGAAGCAACGGAAGAAACTATAGAGGGGAAGGAAGGAAAGGGCAGGAAGTATAGAAGAAAAGAAGGAAGCGATTGAAAAAAGTATAGAGAGGAAGGAAGAGAAAGTAGAGAGAAAGAGTGAAGGAAGGAAGAGGAAGTATAAAGGGAGGAAAGGGTGGATAGGAAATATAAAGAGGAAGGAACAAAGGAAGTCAGGGATAGGGAAGGAAAGAAGGAAGGAAGGAAGGAAGGAAGGAAGGAAGGAAGGAAGGAAGGAAGGAAGGAAGGAAGGAAGGAAGGAGAGGGCAGAAAGTACAGGGAGGGAAAGAAGGATGTCTAGAGAGAAAGGAAGAGAAGGAAGGCATCACCACTGGGGTGGCCAAAGGGACTGGCAGCAGGTCTTGCCCCCCTTTGAGGCAGACAGACCAGTCCAGTTAAAAGTGGGGGCTTTTGGGGGTGGGCCTTGGAGGCCTTATCTATCTGACTCCTCTCCTTCCCTCTCTGCCCCCCAGGATCCCATCTGTCAGCTCTTTTAATCAGGGAGTTAATTATCTCTGGGGAAAGAAGCAAGGCCGTGCTGGGGAGGGAGGGGGGCTCCTCTTCAAAACCGGCATCACGCAGACAGGTAATAAAGTCTGGAATGTGCAGCTGGAGGGAGGGAGGGAGGGGGCCGAGAGGGGCCCCCCTTTTGGCAGGAGTTTGGCCAGGCTGCCTTGCAGGAAGGAGGAGTTGGTTCTGGACCAACAAGAGCAAAGGCGGACACAGAAAGAGAGAAAGGAGAAGGGGCTCTTAGAGGATTTGGCCCCAAAAGGCAGGTGAAGCCTTTGGTCGGATCCTGCAGCCACATTTTTACCATTCTACTGTAAGGTGGGCTTCCTTGGAGGGTAGTGGACTTCCCTTCATCTTTAAATATAGCCTGGATATATTTGGGCCAATCTCGATAAAATAGTGAAGATTAGAGACATCACACGGGCAACAAAGGTCCACATAGTTAAAGTATTCCCTGTAGTAACCTATGGATGAGAAAGCTGGACCATAAAGAAGGCTGAGCGAAGGAAGATAGACACTTTTGAACTGTGGTGTTGGAGGAAAATTCTGAGAGTGCCTTGGACTGCGAGAAGATCCAACCAGTCCATCCTCCAGGAAATAAAGCCCAACTATGCACTGGAGGGAAGGATCTTAGAGGCAAAGATTAAGTACTTTGGCCACATCATGAGAAGACAGGAAAACTTGGAGAAGACAGTGATGCTGGGGGAAATGGAAGGAAAAAGGAAGAGGGGCCGACCAAGGGCAAGATGGATGGATGGATATCATCCTTGAAGGAATTGGCTTGACCTTGAAGGGGCTCTGGCGTGGAACAAAGACTGAACAAATATACAACAACATGTTTGGGCTGTACCTAAGTTAGATGGCAGAATGGGGTTGGACTAGATGACCCTTGGGGTTCCCTTCCAACTCTAGTGGCCTCTCATGAAAGGAGAGAGACCATCCAGCAGAGGGCTTGGATGGCCATATGTTGGGAGGGCTTGGACAGAAGAGAGTTGTCCCCAATGGCCCATTGGGGCCTTTTCCAACTCGATGAATCTATAATAATGATAACAATTCAATTCTAATACAAGCCTTTCCCCTCTTGTAGCCGCTTGACCTGCCAGGTGGGTGGGGCGTGCTTGTGGGGCCCTTTCTGATGGATAGATGGGGGGGGCATCCTGGGTAATGGGAGCCAGGTGTGGGGTGGGGGGCAGACCCCTCCTCCTGCTCTTATTGGAGGGGCCTGGAGTGCTTCATGGGCAGGGATCAATGGGGAGGGGGGCCTCCTGATTGCAGGGTCAGCGGAGTCTGGTTTCAGAAGATTGGCTGGATGGGGTCTGGGAAGGGGACTGTGCTGCTGCAGCCACCCCAGCCAAGAATCGCAAGCTCCACATTTAGTTTTACTAAAGCTGGGGCAGAAAATGCACCCTATTTTCTCAAATCTAATGGTAAATTTTTTGGTTGAATGCCAAAATCAGGGTGCGCACTAGATTTGCGTCCTACAGTAATCTCAGTGTTGAGTCAAAGCAAAAGGGGAAGCTGGTTCAGGAGCTGTATCTGGAGCTCTTCTTGGGGGACAGCATCTCAAATTAAATTGCCTTGTCTCAATGCTATGCAGTCCTGGGATTGGCAGAAAAGACTCAAGGCCTTGCAAAACTACACAACATTGAACTAAGGTGATGAAAGTGGATTCATTCTGCAGCATAGATGCACCCCAAGGCTTTTGTTTATAGTGAAGGAATTCTAAGCAGGCAGCAACCACAACGTGCAGCTTTTGGGGCCAAATTACAAAGAGGACACTTTTTGTGTATTACGTTCGGCAGCAAAAACCTTTTTTGGTTTTAGGGTTTTTGAAAATTGAGGTGTGCATTAGATTCGATGGTGCATCAGACTCAAATAAATACAGGGTACTAGTGTCTCCATTTCTGGAGGTTTTGAAACAGAGATTGAATGGCCTTCTGTTGGGAGGGTTTAGATATAACCTCCCTGCATAAAGGCAGAAGGGGTTAGACTAGATGCCCTTTGGAGGCCCCTTCCTCTCTTGGAACGTAGACCAGTTGGGGTCTCTCTCCCGAGGGCTTGGATTGTTTCATTTTCTTCCAGGCAGAAGAGGTTGGACTAGATGGCCTTTGGATCAGTTGGGGTCTCTGTCTAGAGGGCTTGGATTGTGTCCTTTCCTGCCAGACAGAAGGGGTTGGACTAGATGGCCTTTGGAGGCCCCTTCCTCTCTTGGAACGTAGACCTGTTGGGGTCTCTTTCTCTGGAGGTCTTGAAGCAGAGGTTAGATGGCAATCTGTCCAGAGGGTTCAGATTTTGTCTTTTCCTGCTAGGCAGAAGGCAGTTGGACTAGATGGCCTTTGGAGGCCCCTTCCAACACTGTGATTCTTTGAGTCTATAAGCAGACTGAATGGCCATCGGCCAGGAGGGATTAGATTGTGTCTTCTTGCCTGACAGAAAGTGTGGGATAGACAGGATGACCTTGAAGGCTGCCTTCCACCTCCTAGAATTCTAGAGCTTGCCTTTTGCAGCTCCTAGCAGCCTTCTTCCTAAATAAATGCACTGAGTTGTGTTCTTCTCTATGGCCAACCTGATATATCCAAAGGCGAGAGGGAATTAAATGGCTAGGAGGTTGGCTGCCTCCCTTTTTCCTCAAAGCTTATTATTCAAACCGCCAGGGGTCTATTCTTTTTGCAAAGATACTTTTTGGACGGCAACTCCCAGAATCCCCTGGTTTCCATGGCTGAATGTAGATTCACACCCTGGCCTCCAGAGTCACGG